ATATATATATATAAATTCACGTGTAGGCCCTATCGGACCAAGCGAAGTACAACACAGAATCCTTTCAGCGCTTCCTAATCTTCCTTTGTGCCCGTATCTCCTCTATTATCCCAGAGGGTTTTCTTTATCTTTCAAGAGACCAAGAGATTCCATGTTATGTTTTTTTTTTGTTTTTTCCACTTGGCCAACCCTCCAGTCACAAATTTCTTGTCCAAAAACCATTCTATCGTGGATTTCTTGTTGTGCTATCCCGACTTCTTTCATTGCAGCAATCCATTTTATTGTTTTAATTTTTGATTTACTTCGGTTTTCATGGAATTTTACTACTTGTCTTGTCAGTTTGGTTGGTTCCATTCTTTTAATATGGCCATACAATTTTATCCTACGTTTTTTGATATCAGAATATATGTCTGAGTACTTTTGTACTTGTACTTTATTTGCTCGTAGCTGTGAATTCCTTCCTCAGTGTTTCGGGCCTAAAATTTTCGGGATAATTTTTCTTTCTTTCTTTCTTTTGTGTTTCTTCCATATCTCTCTTTCTGTTTAAAATGAGTGTTTCAGCACCGTATTTGCAAAACTGTGTGTTAAAATATCTTGAATGTCAAGAGGAGGAAATTTTAAGGCTTCAATAACTTTCAATGACACCATTGTTTTGTAAAATTTTCAGTATTGTCGGACATTTTTCATTTCGTAGGGTCCTACCATATAAGTAATCACACTAATTAACTATTGTAGGTAAGAAGTAATTGAAAATTTTATAAAGTATCAGACAACTGAACCGCGACTTACAAAATTACGATAACAATTTTCTCGGGTTCTAATTTCTTTTTCAATGTTTACTCTTTTCCCATTAGTCCCACCAACGGGCTCCTTCCTTGCGGGGCCCCCTGCGATCGCTCGGTCTGCCCTGTCAGTATAGTCTCTAGTTGTTACGCAGCACAAAGCATTTTACTCGACAAGTGAACTTGTGTATGGATTTTGTTTAATGTAATCTGGCAATCAGTTGTAAAGTAGCTTTCATGTTTTTTTTCAGTGGATTTCTTGAAGTGAGCTGATAAATGTCTGAAGAATATGAAGCATGTCTGAAGAATATGATTCCTATGACGTGCAATGTAATTACAAATATCTGAATTCCGTAAATAAATATTCCCATCCTTCAAGAGGATCGAAGCACAAAAATTTTCGTAATCTTCCAGCTTGAAGCGAGTCGTAATCGACTGTCTTTGTCACAACTTGATCCGTCGTTCCGTTGTCGAGTTACGGTGACCTCTGGGGAAGCTTGTGACGTCATGCTGCCGGTGAGGTCCCCCCTGCCGCGCGAGTGACAAGTTATGTCTACTGCCACGGCTGAAAAGTTTCAGCAGAAATCTCGAGCTGCTTATCGATTGAGTGCAGGTTTTTCTTTCATTCTTCCGGCAATGCGCTGAGGTCTGTTTTAGGGGTGTAATAATTGGACTGATGAATCTAAAGTCACACGAAAATGGAACTAGAATCTGGATAATTGTACATTTTCTGAAAGAGAAAAAAACTCGCTGCATGCCACAAATCTTGGATGATGAGAGGATGAGTGATGAATCTTGCACTCATTAGAAAACATATCAGCTTTGCTTAAAACAATTTCTCTGGTTGGGATCAGATACAGACATAGAAGATTCCGTTTCTTTACATTGAGCGCGAAAAGGAACAGTAGCTGAAATCTGTGGCTCATTTGCCATTGTGAATAGTTTTTATTGCACGGGAGCGAATATTTTCTTACCAATTCTTGCCAACAACGCTAGTCGCTCGCTGTAATCATAATTCAACTTAATACAGTATATGAGTTGGTACAGGGATCCCAGGGCTCAAGAAAACGTGCACAGATTGCACTTTTTCCCCATATTACGTCACAGAGATTTTAACTTTTTTGACGTTTGACAAATAAATGAAAGAAGTATAGTTCTTATGACGCATGTTATAATTCTTCTCAACATTGTTTTTCGTAAAATAATTAATTTCGTTTTTTAAGAAAACAGCGCGTATTAAGGTGAAATGACGGATTGGTAAACAAAATGAATTATATTTGTCGTTGTAAGCCGCGTCCTACAATTCCTGCAGCAAATAGTCAATAAATTAATTTTCTGTTTTTTACCTACATTTCCATAGGAATTCATTTTTCCAGTATTATTATTCGAAAAGCGACTCTGACGAAGTAATAATCACTATCAATCCCAATTCTCAAATTCATATCCGCCAATAGATGATAGCCTTGTGTGTGTGTGTAAAAAACGGGCGAGTTACATGCCGATTGTATGGCGTGTAACACATCCTGGAACGCCAATTGCGCGTTTGGGTCAAAATTAAATAATCGGTTAAGACGGGACTGGCATCCGAACTGCTTAACCACGCTCCGCGAAGTCATGCAGGTCGTGACAGCGCGGATCCTTGGATGGGTGACTGTCTGGGAACACCGGATATGAATGGCGGCACCGAGCCCCTGGGCAATAGGGATAAAAGGCAATGACATGACCAACACGATGACTGACTACATATAAAAAGGGATTACTCTGTGTTCAATGCCGTAAAGGCTTAGAAAATTCTTCTTCTTTTTCTTCTTCTTTTTCTTCTTCTTCTTCTTCTTCTTCTTCTTCTTCTTCTGCTGCTCCTCCTGCTACTGCTGCTTGTTCTTCTTCTACACCTTATCCCAGTTGGCTGGGCTCGGCTTTTCGGGTCGTTACTCTCCAGCTGTTTCCATTCTGTGCCATATCCACTGACACACATCTTCCCTAACACAATCTTTCCATTTCTTCTATGGGCGGTTCCGTGCTCGGGTCCCATTATCTAATGATTCCACCCGGTGGGCCACGTACTCTACCAGTCTCTCATAACATGCCCAAACCACTGAAGTCGCCTTTCTTGAAGATATTCTACTCTCTACCTCACCTTCACGGCACCTCCGATTACTTCATTCCTGATTTTGTCCTTTCTCGCTACTCTACAAATCCACCGCGGCATCTTTATCTCCGCTACGTGCAACTTCTGTTCTTGCTTTTTCTTCGTTGTACAACATTCTGCTCCGTACAATATGGCAGGGCTCACTACAGTTTTCCTTCCTTTTTTCCTCACCTTCCTTTTAAGGCAGATTGGTATTCGGCGGTCCCCAAAAATACTCCTGCTGCTTCTCTCCATTATCTCTTATGATAGAAACAGAATTTTAAAAGATCAGAAGCGCCCACGCAGACTTCGATTTGCTTACTAAGAAAGCAGCTGAAACAAAAAACAAGGACCTGCTTTATTTAGAAGTCAAATCGATCGTCTTAGTAAATGTTGTAATCATAGTAAATGTGATGGCATACTACTGCAGAAACGTATTGCCGATGAAGGAACATGATGTTCAGAAACGTGCCGAAAGAATAAATAGCTGGCGAATCTTGGCAAAGGAAATTGAGAATGCGTACCTGTCTTCGGACAGAAAATTCAGAAAATCTCTACGACAGAATAGATGAAATGGCAGGAGGGCTACGCAGAATATTTCGGTTAGTATGTCGGAGACTAGTTGGGTTTGAAAGTCTCGATAATACAAATATAGCCGATAGGTGGACCGTTGACAATCAAAGGGGTGCAAATACCTTAAGTTTTCTCAAAATAATAATAATAATAATAATAATAATAATAATAATAATAATTCAATAGTGAGAAAAATATGCATACTTGTTTTATGTGTCTTACTTTTTTACTTTCTCGCTTTACTTCGTAAGAAAAAGTATTGCAATCGTGCACCGGAAATCAAATTTTTCCTATAGAAAATAGCTCATTTCCAGACGCTGGTGACGGAAAAGTAGTTAAATCATCTTTCTATACGTAGAAACTTACTTCTTCTCTCAAACCTGACATGGTAATAAATAGCCGGGAAGGGGTCCACGTGGTCGATGTGACTGTCCGCCACGAGGATGGGTCTAGCCTTCTGAAAGCAGGGGAGAAAAAGGTGGTAAAATACCAACCAGTCATCCCCCTAGCAGCCCAATTTCATGGAGTACCCAACGCCAGAATCCTGCCAGTGGCGGTTGGAACCTCTCAGGCTATGCCAAGATTCAGAGCCAGTGCCCTCAAGACACTGGGGATCACGACTCGATGCGATCTACGGACTATCTCGTTAATTGCTCTCAGAAGCTCTATCAAACTTTACACACAATTTGTAAATTACGATGGAACAATTTAGCATTGCTGGTAGTAAATGCAGGAGAGAAACTTTAATGTCTTGTGGGGAAGTATTGGGAACCCATTGGATCCTAAAATGCCTAGGAATTACCCAGTTATTACGCCTTCAAGTGGGAAGTGTATGCTATTTAATGTGGCATATAGAAAATTGTGTAGTCAGAATCCATATTTTGTTGATCCTTGATACCGAAAACACGACGGATGGCAAAACATCTGTCTGACCGTCTCTCCGTCAAGTGTCAACGCAAGCTCCTAAGATAAAACATTGAGCCTTTTTCGAAAATCGTAATTATCGAGCAATTTTGCGTGGCCATTTTTAAACAATTATTCTTCTCGAAAAAGGCTCAATTTTTTTCTTTAAGTTTTCTCCACGTATTTATCAAAGGATGTTAAAAAACTGGTGCTGGTGCCATTATCTGTATTCGTATTTTCGAAAACTGCTATAAAACACATTTCAAAATTTCAATACTTAAGATGAGATTTTTGTCTTAAATGAAACGTGTTTTAAAAAATCAGATCGTTAAAAAAGTCGTGTTCAATTTTTCGAAAAAGCCAGGCGTTTTCGGGTAACTTTTGCTTCAAGTTAAAACAATGTATAAAAAAGTTCTCAAAAACTGCTCCATAATTTTTCTTTATTTTTATCTTAAATATAGCAAACAGGCTTTTAAAAATGATACAGATCTGAATTTTTCAAAATTGAGAATGTTAAAAATAATGCGAGAAAGCAAGTGCTGTTTTTCGAAATTTTTAGTATCATTAATCTTTTATACAATGCGTATTCTTATTTAACTCGGGGTGACAGTACTTCAGGGCCCCTTTAATGATCGCCAGCAGTAGTTGATCTTTATTGCCTGTACAGTTCTCTTCGAAGTTGTGTTGCAATTTGCATGTATCTACAACTATTATTTCTGTCCGTTGTCGCGAATGTTGGAATTGATTTCTGGAAATGGCAGTTCGTGCGTTATTCCATTTTACAACGAATAAAAAATAGAGAACAAAAGAAATCGTATTAAACTATTTTTTATATCTGAAACTATAACCATGTTTTATGTTTTTTTTTTATTTCGATGTACGAGGTTTTTATTCAATTTTTTGGGAATGTGCATACATAGCTCTTATTAAGTAACTGGTAGACGATAGTGTCCTGTATTCCGTAGCATCGTACACTCGTATTAGGTCGCTCCTCATCACCCCGGCTCGCGTTCTCCGGGGCTCCCGGGTCAGTCCGCCCCCTCGCCCTCCTCGCGCTTCCCCTGCCACGCCGGGATGAGACCCGCCCCTCGCCGGCTGCCGCAGGTGGCTCGCGGGCGCAGCCAGCCAGGTCGCGAGGTTATTGTAGAGCTCAGGCTGCATGTCGCCGCTATGCGGAAAGGCCCGACCGCGTCACATGTGGAGCCCAGGCCTTACGGGGTAGTCACGCTCACTACTTTGGTGTTACGCGTACTTAGGAGCAAGAGCCCGGAGTCCCTGCGCCACCAGGCGGCAAGGAAATGAACGCTAGAAGGGGATAAACAGCGGAACCCAACTTTTCTTTCCTTACAAAGAGGTGGCCTTATATAGAGGTTTGAATAAAAATACAATGTGAGGGCACAAATACACTTTTTTATAACTACAGTAGATATACATAGGTAAATTTCTGAAATATCTGTTATTCCGTATAGTTCGTTATTTTGAGCTGACGTTTCTTGTTGACACAATACTTGTTTGTTTTTTGTACTAAACGTGAATATCATTCCAAATTTTCATTAAAGCTCAGAAATAACTATATATTCAACAGTAGTTGGCAGTAGCAGTAGATAACAGTAAAAAAATGTACGAATGCCATCCAAAGGATTCCTGCAAGACATTCTTCATTGAGCTGGAAATCTTACTACTGCCTTGCCTACTACGAATCCGTAGTTTTGTAAAACTTGGAAAAAGTGGAAACATATTTTCATGTAATAATTATATTTACAATTACAACACGCGTCGTAAAAATAGCATTTATCAGGTGTCAGTAACAACAGCTCACTACAAGAAATCCACATACGTTACTTTGCAACCCATTATCAAAAACATTAAACAATTAAAATCAATACACAAGTTTAAGTTCAATGTTAAATATTTTTTATTGCATAACAGTTTTTATACAACTAGAGACTATACTGACCATCAAAATAAATATAAGAATGATATTTAATTCATTACTCATCATCTGTGCCTTTTAATTCTAAAAGACTTAATGTGCCTTTAATAAGTAATGTACTTCAGCTTCGGGTCAATGACCCCCATCTCGATCAGGTATTCGCCCAGTTTCTCTGATCCATTGAGCGAATGTTGAAATGTTTTGACAGAAATGTAGCTTTACTATGCGCAGGTTAAGTTGAGCTCTCTGTGCGCTAGATGTGGCAGGAGTAGAGCCGGGAGTATGGGTTACTAGTTTATTAGCATACTAAAAAATAAAATCTCTAGTTGGTTTACCGAGGCAAAGGTTTTATATAACACGGGAGCGAAAATTTCTAGTTTTCAAATGTTGCTAACCTCACTTTTTTTACTTTTATTCATCGTTCAACAATGTATGAAGTGTGGGAAAGAGATTCTGGAAGTCAAGAAAACGTGCGCAGATTGTACTTCTCTCATATATGACACATACAGGTTGTACTGTTCTTTGATGAAAATAAATCAAATCAAAACATCAAGTTCTTGGATTTTCAAAAATTAAAAATCTGTATTTTCTCGAATCTCTTGCGTTTTGTTTGGCGAAAAGAGATTTAAACAAATGTTTTCAACTATTCGACGGATATGAAATGCAATATTATATTACCGTAACATAAACGTTATAAATAATATGAATGTATGTTCTGTTGTAGCACCATTAGTTTCATTTTGTAATAATGGGCTTCTTTATCTTTTGTATTCATGTTAATAACATGAATGGTTTCCTTAAAAATAATACCATTAATATAATTTCCCTAATACTATTTTCTCTTCTTTTTCATTAAATTAATCTACGAAAATGTTAGGATGCACTGCATGTTGTGAGTTGGAATGTATTATTTTTTGGTTGGTAGTTTCACAGTTCTAATTCTCTAACGCTCGCAGATGAAATATTTATTTAAATGTAAATGATTGTTTAATTTATTTTTCAGACCCAGCTCAGATCTCGGAACTTTTGGCGAAAACAATTGCGGATGCCCATGCTCGCACCTGCCTCTACACTCTGGACCACATCCAAGAAATGTTCCGGAAGCCACAAGACCTGTCCAAGCAGCTCTACTACAAGAATCTGGTCAGGCCCATCAAACTTTTCAAATATAGCTCTCGAAATTTTGTTCTTGTGAACATGTGTCAGTTATAATAACGTCAACGGAAAATTAAATAATATCGATACTAATTTTATTATTAATAATAATAATATAGTAATTATTAATAATATAACAATTACTAATAATAATATAATTAATATTAATAATGTAAAAATATTATAATATAATACATTTAAAATTAGATCTTTAAATAAATAATGGTTCAAGAACAAATATTTCAAAAATGTGAGTCGTTTTTGAGATATTTTCATTTAAATCGTGACAATTGACCAGAAATATCTTAACAAAATTCTCTTAAATCGTAATAACAATAACAATAAATATGTTGATGAGCTTAAACATAAGTGTGTAGATAATTTAATGCATGTTTACGCCTGTAGTTACATCCTCTCTATGTAGAATAAGAAAGTTGTTTTGTATTATTTATAACAAAATATCGGCACAAAATCCCATAAGTGTGCTACTGCTGGCTAGGAAATTATCACCTTCAAGCAGGTTTATGACGAAAAAATGACACGTCGCACATTATGCTAAGGGACACAAGGCATTCACGCAACACGCAACACATTTTTCACTGCCACCTTGTTGGGAAACCGATCCGTTCTGAGTACGAGTTATTTTTCGTATCCCGTAATCTAGATAATGAGACTTTTTGGACCTTCTGTTTCATTTTTGGAGGGTACCCTTACGTGTCAAAAACTTTCGAGATTGTTCCTCTTTTAAAACAATATAAAAAATAGGCGAAAAGTACTAGTATTAAACAGCATGTTTTCTTGAGTTTCGGAATCTCTATCCCCACCAACATTAGTTGAAATGTGAGTGAGAGATAGTAACGAGTGTAGCTGACCGCATTTGAAAAGAGGAATTCGTTCCTATAAATAGAAACTATTTACATCGTATCTACAGATTTAATACAATGATATTGTAATCAAAATACCAACCCCCTGTTCTCTTGCACCCAGCAAGATGAGAACTCAAGAAAACGTGCGCGCATTATAATTAGATAAATAGTAAGTTAATTAGATTTGTAATAGCTGTAATCTGTAAATTCTATGGTGAGTGAGAAAATGTTTATTGTTTACGGACTCGTCAAGTACTGAAGTCTCCGGATCCGTAAGTGAAGTGCATTTCATATCCTGATATGTGGTGGAGTTCCTTCCCTACTAGAACGTGAGATACGGTTCCAACCTATAAGCCGGCTTGCGAGATTTTCCCTATACGTATCTCCCCCAGCGGACACCATTCCAGTCGCGACCAACTCGTAAACTCCCGATTAGTCTCTCCATACGTCTCTCCAGCAGGGGAAGATCACCGTCATCTCCCACGATACAAACACTACACTTACGGGATTAATGATCTTTGCTGTTGACGCGTCCGGAATCATTAATTAATCGGTATACTAATGGTACGATAGCGGCAAACAAACCGGGTATTGGTATTCGGCATTTTACGAAAAATATTCTGTATACTGTAGATGTTGCTGTCCGTGCGATCAAAATATCGTAGAAGCAGAAAAACGACATAAATAAAAGTTTGAAAATAGAAATCAGCCGAATGCGAGGTGTAAAAACACAGAGAGTACCAATGAGCGTCTGAACTTTGGAATTTGTTCCGCGAAATTTTTATCGGAACTTGTCCAAACTCTCACGTTGTTCAAAAGCCTGGGAAGTGCCAAACAGCGGATTATTGGGGATAATCCATATTTTGCGCAAAGTATTGAAGTTACTAGATCAGAGTTACTAGTAAGCTCCTAAGGAAGCTACCTGGAGTATACAGACACTTAACATCATTAGGAGTGGATTTAGGTTGTTGTTACTGAATCGGTGATTTTAAAATGGAAATAAGTCCACTTTTTTCGTAAAAAAGAGTTAAGATATACGTTTTCTTTGTTATTATTCACGCTATAAATCAGTGTAAAAATGAACCTTGTCCAGCTTAAAATATGAATTCTATTGCTAATTAAGAATTCTGTCTGGAAAAGAGAAAGAAGTTCAGGACTAGTTTCTGATCCTCACACAGAAGAACTCGTATTATCAGCTAGGAAACGTCTAAATGCTTCATGACAGCAGTAATAGACACTGAGAATATCATTGACTTCGAAACCTGATGGTCCAACTATTTTAAGAAGACAACCAAGCCCATTGCTCGACCTGGTAGACCTCATTTTGAGCCTGGTGAGGCTCTTTCCAAGTAAAGCAGCTCATGTATGATAGAGAAAATATTGGTTACCTCGTGGCACGTGAGTATATATTGATAGGCTTATCAAATACTCATTTCTGTTGGCAAAAAGGAAGGCACGTCCAGATTTGCCTTTGAAGAAAGTTCATGTCTTGTTTCAGCTGTTCTTCCAGTCAACGGAAAGCAAATAATAGATTTTTTTAAAATAGTCAAATATATCCCACATATCTCCATTTCTAACTACGTTTTAACATAGCCACAGACTAGAGTGGAAATCGATCGAGACTCGGCCGATTTGCTGGTCCGAGACCACTACGGCACAACTGCCTTAGAGATCTCGGCCATGTGATCGGCAATTATTATTATTATTATTATTATTATTATTATTATTATTATTATTATTATTACTATTATTATTAAAAATAATTCTAAATTATGTAATATTCATGAACAAAAATCTACATTTGTAATTTATAGAAATTAAAGTGTGCTGCCACAAGGTTGTTAAAAAATCAACAAACGGAAAGAATTATTTATCTAAATGAATATGACTAGATTTCCGTCGCTGGGACTGCTGAGACACCACTCTGAAAGTAAAAAAAAATGTGGGTTGCTCCAAACAATATGAAGAGATGACCCCGATGTTTCATGTGAAACTGCTTGTTTGAAATTGGCTGCTAAGGTTAATTCATATTTGTTGTTGGTGGTATAATCAATGGCAATGGAGATAGGGATGGTGGTGATGATAATGATCTGTTAGATTTACAATGCAGAGAAAATGTGATCTTAGCTGCATTGTCAGTAAGCGTGTACCATTATACTATTATCATTTTAATTTTAGAAGATCTTCATAGCAGTGCATTCATTAAATTTTCACATATGTTATAATGATATACGTAACTGGATTATCTTCATTATTATTATACTCTTTAATATATTCTTCAGAATTATGTAAAATTATTTAATATTGATTGTTATTTTACAAATTATCACAATATAAAATATTGGTATTACTTATAGGTTATCTCAATTCTCCTTTTTTTATGTAAGCTGCAGTGTTTTTATTTTTAATTTGAACATGTTAATACTACTAAGTTCAATGGAACATTAAAACATTTTATAATTGTAGTAGTTTATAAATTTTCTATCTATTTATTTCCATGAGACTTGCTGTGCATTGTTCTTGCACCATTGGTTTTTTTTATCCCATAATTAGATTATTCCAATGACAATGTTAAATAGGTAAACTTAAACAAATTAGAAAGATAACAAATGAAAATATTAGTACCTGGCCCTTAAAGAATCAAAAATAATTTACCACGTAGGTAAGAGCCTGATAAAATATAAAACACATTTATTCCATTCAAAAGAATCGTTTTTATGTCTTTATTCCATTTTTATGTTCAAAGACTAATTAATTTTTATGATATTCTTTGTATTAATGAAATACTGTCATGCAGTATGAAATCTAATATAGGTGAACTTGTTAAATGTGCATACAAACCTTCATACAATGTTATGGTATGTATGGAGTTTCTTGATGTTTATATCATCTGATGCATAATAAGAAGAGAAGAAACGATATTCTTTGAAGGAGAAATTGCAGCCAGTTGATATTATAATGAATGAATTCAATTATTGATAAACTACTGAGATTTAACAGTCTTCATTTTACCAAAAAAGGATTCATATTGAACCATTAAAAATTAAAAAGCTTGTTTAAGCAAAGGACCTACAATAACACAATTTGATTTAGGAATACTATTAAAATTTACTTTATCTGAGTAAACAGTAAAAAATATATTTTATGAAATGATATGAATATTTTATGAGAGATTTAAAATCATCTTAAAATATTTTGTTGTAGGCTCATGAAGAATTATGGTTAGAGTGTGCTCAGAAGCTAACAACAGTCATCCAACAAATCATTGAATTTGCTAAAATGGTGCCTGGCTTCATGAAATTAACCCAAGATGACCAGATTGTTCTTCTAAAAGCTGGTGAGTATATTTACAATATTATTTCCAGAACTTCATGTTGAAATGAGTAATACAAGGAGTATTTTCACAGTAATTATTAACACCTTAGTTTATAATGAGAATAGGTACACTCCAATAATTAGAATTTCTTAATATTTTTTCTTTTTTTATTTCTTTTACAGGGAGTTTTGAATTGGCTGTACTGCGAATGAGCCGATACTTCGATCTCACTCAAAATTGTGTGCTTTACTCAGACACTCTGCTTCCTCAGGAGGCTTTCTTCACTACTGAGTCAGCAGAAATGAATCTTGTAAGATGTGTCTTTGAATTTGCAAAGAGCGTAGCTGAATTAAAGCTCACTGAAACAGAACTGGCCCTCTACTCTGCCTGTGTGCTGCTGCAAGCTGGTATGAATTATTTTATTTTAAAATATAATTCTTAAAAAGGGACATTGAACTGTGTGAGAAGATGGAGAGTAGGAGAAAGTTCATTATTATTATTTACATTGGGATTTGTTATTAGTAATACCACAATCTGTATTCAGAGTAGAGCAATATCAAAAATATATGCATTTAAAATAGGAAGTATCTAATTTGTTTAAATTTGTATAAAAAACTCACTTTGTAACAGGTGTATTGTATTTGTAGTGAAAATACTTTCCAACACAACAATACAAATTTATTTTCTCTTTGAGCCACTGCTTCGATCTTAAATCTCTGAAAAGTAATTTAAATATGAGATTTCGTGAAGCAACCAAGAGGTTTGAATTAATAGCCTCAACAAACCAACGCACCTGCTAAATTAGGCAACTAATATAAATGTTTATTATATCTGCAGAAACATTGACTTCAGTCAATTCATTTTATTATAATCTGCTTTAGGGCAGTGAATTTTTTTTTTGGGGGGGGGCTGTCGAAATTTTACATGATTGTGTCTTTCGAGGATAACAATAATGCAGCAGTTCTTTATTCAATTCTATGTTCTAAGATTTGTCATTGTTCCATTGAATGAGTGAATATGTATTTGCTCAATTTTAAAAAGAAATGTCTACCATAAAAAATGAAACAGTCAAAAGAAACCCCATAATACAGAAATAATAATATAGAAATATAAATAGAATCAGCATTTCTCATTTATGATGCAGTAAATAAATATTTTCTCGAAACCTTCCTTTCAAAGACTTTATCTGGTGAACTGTAAAAGATACCAATCAATGATTCATAGCTCTCTATATTCAGCATATTTTGTCTTTGCCCTATTTTTATTGAGAAGGGTCAACTTCAATTTTTTTTAATGAAATCGTTCATCTAATAGAAGACGGTATTAAATATGTTCATATCTTAATATTTAAAGAAGTAGCTGTTTTCTGTCACATGGTTTTCCATTGATGCCGGCCCTTGGCGTTTGGCTTTTTCCTTGTTTCCTCTGGAAGGGAAACGCCGCGAGTGTTCTAGGATTCAAGCGTAATTTCAAATGGAAGTTAAACCATATTTTGAGAAATGATTTGTAAAACACTGGTTCAGGTTTGGTTTTATTTTGAGAAGTTCTTTGGTATACCAGCATTAAAACAACCTTTCTCGATGGAAGACATCGTTCATAAATTGCCGTTTTATGGCACAGTCCCTCCTCCGCGCCCGACATCCCCCTTGTAATTCTCGCCCGTCTTCCCCGCCCCGTTCTCAGCGACCGACTGCCCTCCGCCCTGTAGGACGCCATAACATGGATATCTTATGTTGCCAACTGTAAAACCGCTTTTTAAATTGTTTCTAAAATGAATTCTGGTAGTTTTATAACTTTATAATACTGTTATATAATAAACACAGCGCACGCAATTTGTTTATGTTGCTTTATTGCATTGGAACAAATTTGAAAAATCGCTCCTAACGTCGCTCGTTTTCAAAACATATACGTATGCATAACATTATAAACATGTCACATAATGTACTAATAATATTCTATTTTGTGTCTAAAATACGTTCGTGGAAATGTGTTGTACCTACTAAATTACTTTTTACTTTCTCGCCCTTGCGTATGTAAGAAGAGAAAAGTAGCGCGCGCAGGAAAACGTCGAATTTTAAAAACATTTTGCACAACTCTTTCTGTATTGCAACTCTGACATATCCATCATGACTTAGAAACAACTTCATTTATTGTGACCATCATTGCAATAATGCTAACTATGATCGCGACCTACTTCGTTTTCATCAATTATAGCTGTCAGAACCCTATCACATTTTTTTGTGAATCACTCACTCCTGAAGTCACCAGCCGTCACTGCTGTTGAGAGAGGTAAATAGAAATGATGATATTGTAGTATTGCTTTGAGAAACATTAACAAAAATTATTGCCAGAAGTTGGGGTGATTTTATATTGTTTCTAATTATTTTTAGCATGCATACATCCAGACTTACCTAGACTAAAATACATCGTTGTGTACACACAATGACGAACAAGAATAGTGTATAAGGTTCTTCGATGGTGTAATAACATAAAAAACTAGGTTTTCTTCCATAAGCTGTTCGTGTTCAGGGTGAAAAACTACCCCAACAGAGGTGGATCCAGCTGATCATTTTGAAGGGCGCCATGAGATTTTGTTAAATAATAAACATATGTTATTATATTGTATATTATTTTTGTGTACGTATATGATACTAAAAATTATTTTCTAAATAATTGCATACCTTTGACATAAATACTTAAATCAATTTTGCCCCCCCAAAAAAGAAGGTAACAATCGAAAATTCTAGGCCTTTTACGGGGAGGGCCATGACCCTCTTCACATTATAATGACACTCGCTGTGGCCGAACAGGAATCCTGCCGCATTCGATGTCTTGTGTAGCGCCCACTGTGCCAGCCGCCGCCGCCGCTTACGCAAGGTGTGGGGCGCAGCGCCCACCGAGGGGCGAAGGGGAGAAGGTGCCGTTAGCCGCCTCCTCGCACCCCCGCGCTCTGCAGGGGACGCCTATTATCCACGCGCGCTTTCTTGAGCCCTCGTTTCACAAGATGCGGCAGGAGGGGGGGGGTGATTATTTGATCCACAGGACTATTGTATCAAATCTAAATCGTTCGACAAAGCAAAATACACGGAAGCGAGCATTTCTGGATAGCGGATTACGTCAACAACGCTCCTTGCTGTAATTTATTCTGAATTCCACTAATGTTAGTAAAGGACTGAGGGTAGGTCTTCCAGTAAGCAAGAGATAGGAAGTAGTGAGGAAACGGCGTTGGCAGGGTAAAGTGCTTCAACACGACCCCCTCCTACACTTGCATTCTTAAATGCTCTTCTTCACTTTTCGAGTCTAGTCCACCGTTCCATTTTTATATTACATTTATTAAGAATGATATTCATTTCACATTTTGGTCACTATAGGTGAACCTTTCACCTTTTAAAAGTGCATACCATGAACATTATAAAAGCTAATAAAAACAAAGAAGATTAAGACTCACTTAATTTTTTAAGATTTTCTCAATCCTCTATCCTTCAAAGATGCTAACCGTTCAATAATATCTTCTACAACAGACCGTTTTTCTCAATGTTCGCACTCTAGTTTCGGGTAAAAACAGAATTGGCTAAAATACTAAGAACTAAATCACTTTTAGGAAAAAAAGTCTGAAATTTCAAATTAAAATTTCGATGAAAAAAATTAATCACAGCACAACTAATCTCGCAAGGAGAGACACTCGCGAATACAAGAACATGACATTCCTACGTGATAGAATGCGAGAATGGTGAAGAAAAAATAAAGAACACAACACAATATACTAGTAATGGATTTTTTAAACTAATCCACATTTAAGATGGTTGTTAATTTGACAACCACGGGAATAATATTATAACATTTTCTTTTTGTTTAAACTTAGTTAACTTTGAAGCTAAATTGGTATGTTGGACGTTCTGCTGGGAATTACATTTAGTGAGAGGCATCTTGCGTCAGGAACAGTAACTGTCAGCATAGCGTCTTGGATTGTGCTGCAATCTATAGTGTATTATATGTAGCTCTGACTGAGACTAGGTATTCTCGCCCTTACGTGGTGAATAGAATGGCTAGTAGCCGTTGGCTACGTCACTGCACGTACTTGCACCACATGCACTTCATGCAAGTGAAAATGCGTCATTGTTGCCGTAGTAACCGACACGCAATCTCGTTTACAACTCTAGGCTAACACGTAAGCAATTGAAAATATTTGGCAAAGGCTCTAAAACGCTTTTCTTTATGGATAGTATTGCCATAAGAATAACAATGGAATTTATCACACCTACATGACGTCCGGGAAGAATAGGAGCATCTGACAAATCTGCACGAAGCGACTCACCAACGCAGAATTCCAAAAAAGCCTCGATAAATGTCAATTCTTTTAGGAAGAAATAACGTTTTGGGATCATCGGATCAGTCGGCACGGTCTGTTCATAAACGAAGTTAAAATTAATACCATGGTCAGGGAACCAAGCCTACCGGCATGATCATTTAGTACGGAAATTTTATATCGGATTTGGTAAACGTCTTTGAATCACTTCATAAACTGCAATATGAGAACTTTTGAATGAGCGACGGATTTGGGACAATTAAATGGTACACTTCAACCAGTATCTGCCTTAGAAACGGGTATGCTGATACAAATGATATAGCATCGAATTAGCTCTACAACGCGTGACTCAAACAGGACAGAGAAGGCTTCGCATCACGAGTGTTAAGGAAGCCTGTAAAATTCACAAGGAAACATTATACCATATACTGCCGAGCTGCAAACTTTACCAGCACCTCGTGGGCAACGAGTTCCTTTTACATTCAGATCATAACCCAAAATTTCACTTTTCGGAGAAATAAAAAGGGATTTCGGCAATGACAGCAAGTAGGAAGAGGACAATAAAGCAAAATTTTATAATTGTGGTCCTCGTAATTTTCGTTGTAGTTTCGTTGCAATTAAGGTCAGTATTTTGTGGGTTTGCAAATTACAGTCGTTGCAATGAAGCGAAGTTGGCCTATCGGTGACAGCAGAACGCGACGCGACACCGTAGCATGTCACGATTTTAACACCGCAACTGCTAGTGCGAAAGAAAACTTAGTCGTTCGCTTACCCACGTTTCCTATAGCTATGGAAAAACTATTTCCTATAGCTCAGAAAATCCGAATAATATATTAGTTTACAAAATTAATGTTATAAAGAATTTTACGAAGACAATATTTTCTTCGAATTGTCCAATACGTTCCCAACATCGAATTAAAACGAGTGCACCTCATTGCCATTTATATCTCTGTTGATTTTGCGGTGGCATCCAGGCAGGATATTTTTTGGAAATGGTTAATGATAGCGTACATTTTGTATCTATTTTTTGAAAGGTACATACTTTTGTTATGAGCATGTTCCTGATATCGCCACCCTCTATTTGAATTAAGCTAATCAATATATCCTCCATATGTCTTCACATGTATTCACTTCATGTATACACAACTTTTGTAGTAGCTTTTTCGCCGAATTATATGTTATACAAAAGGCACTAACTAGAGTCGAAGTATCGTAATGACAGCAGATAATTCCCTGCTCGGCGCTCTTCAAGCCATTGTCTTCCTATCCATCTAATGCTCTAATAGCAAATCTTCAAAATCAGTTACGAACACAGGCTGATATTCAATTTCTATAATATAATCTTCCACCGATCATATGAGAATAACTGCGAACAAGAGAGCTGACCAAACAGCAAAATCGGCCAGCAACAACCAAATAGATATCTATCTCTTTAGTGCCAACATCAGATACTAGGCTCTACATGAAACGACGCATTTCTGGTGCATAGCAGATTGAAAGGCAAGGCTCAGATCGCCTTTGCCACCTGCGATTATACGGAGCGTTTATCCACTCAGTGTTGGATTATGGCAGTAAAGACTATGGATCAGCTTCTTCTTCACTCTTCACCCTCTAAATACCACAGTGCAAGGGCATCCCCATCTCGACTGGCGCTTAAGTACCAACCGTTTGACTGTTTCTTGGTAGAAGCTGGGGAGCCGCTTTCGATCAAAAGGCGAGATACCCTGCTTCGAGCTTATTTAACTTCTGGAACTCCTGGACCAACCAGTCCATCAGGCTGTTCTTTGCCCCTGATTACTGATAACACAGGTCCACAACCAAAACATTTTATTTGATGATTTTAGTTAATCTTCATGCTTTTTGGTGTGCTTAAAATGGTAACGAAGTCCGACCGTCCTCCATTACGTACAGATTATCGTACAGAAATGTACAGAAATCCATTAAACATGTAGCGTGTGCTCATATTTACATTTGTAACCAATGTTTTTTTTTAAACTATTTCTAACATTCTAAACACTTATTATGTTCCAAAAATACTCTCCCTTAGTAGGTGGTTTGGCCATGAAGGTTCTGTTCAGACAGGAATGTAATTGTCATCTGTTCTCATTAGTCCCCTTCTAAAGATAATCAAGATAAAAATGGATGTATTTGTAACTTGGGGGCTCACTTTGTTGCTCATTCTCCCAGTCCAGTAGTGTCAATTGAAGTGAATAAATTCACTTGGGTCATCTGGTTGCGTTAAAGTGATTAAAAACGTTTTTTGAAGTTTGAAAGTGCAATTTGAACAAATGTCACATCATTGTTGTGTTACCAGTCCAGACTACTTCTGTTTTATGTCTTGAGTACACAATCAAAAAGCACCAAAGAAATATAACAGCTTTGTCTAAAAGTTGTATTATGCATATTTTGGTTTGAGAATAGATCAAGATAAAGTGTGGGCTCCTCACAAAGTATGTCACGGCTGCTCAGAAAAGCATCACTTATGGTACAAATGAGAATTACAGTCTTTTAGATTTGCTTTTCCAATGATGTGGAGGAAGCAAAAAAAATGGGGATGACTGTTACTTTTATGCTTGGGATGTTCAAGGTTACAATTCCAAAAATCATAAGTTGATTAACTACCCTAATCTTGAATCTGCTATTCGTCCAGTACTGCACGGTCCTAGATTGCCAGTTTCTCAGTTCCCTCGTGACTTGGACAGTATTGAGTGGAGCTTGTGTGATAGAATATTATGAAACAAACAGTGAGTTAGAATCAGACAGTTCAGAGAACAAAACTGAGCTTTTTTCTCAACAGAAGCTGAATGACTTAGTGAGAGATCTTGGACTTCCAAAAGATGATGCTCAGTTACTTGGCTCTCGGCTTTAAAACAAAAATGTATTATATTCAGGCACTTATTTTTCATGGTATCAACATTGCAAAGGAGATTTTGTTCCTTACTTTTCACAGGATGAGAGTCTTATTTATTGTAAAGACTGATGGTATCATGGACTGATGGGTCAATTTGGTGTACAATATGACCCAAATCATTGACTCATCAAAATCAGCACATCAAAACAAAGTCTAAAAGCTGTTTTGGTACACAATGGCAATACTTATGCTTTAGTTCAGTTGTCCATTCAGTATATTTAAAGGAAACATACATTAATTTCGTATTAGTTCTTGTATGAATTCATTATAATGAGTATAAGTGGTTGATTTATGGAGGCTTGAAAGTCCTCACCGTGCTCTTAGGCCAGCAATCATGGTACCAGTTCACAAACTTTCCTGTTTTATTATGGGATAGCAGTGACAGAAATTCCTACTGGAACAAAAAATACTGGCCATCACAAGAAGCTCTGTTACCAGGCAAAAAAATGTAATTTTTTTTGAATATGTTCTCATTTGGACAACACATTTCATTTGCAACGCCATAAATATGTATGCATTTCTTTACAATTTTATTAATGTTTCACTTGATACATTCAGTTGGGACATACAAATTTAAATGTTTAGAGAATTACATCATACCACATATAAATGTATGGTAATATGTATAAATGTAAAAAATTAACTTGTTTCTTACTTTAACACAGGAGAAATTACCCCAGGAATATGTTTGTAAATGAGACTGTATTATCTGTTTAGATCGACCTGGGCTGAAGGGACTTGCAGAGATTAGTCGTCTCAGTCAGGCTGTTATGCGAGCATTGCGACTGGAAATTGATCGCAATCATGTTGTACCCATCAAAGGTGATGTCACTGTATGTGATTCAATGATAGCAAAACTTTCATCATTAAGGTAATTGATTTTACTTTTTTATAAACTATATTTTTAATATAAGTTATAAAGTGTTCATTAAATAACTTGTGTAAGCCAGTAATATGTTATTTATTACAAGATTTGAAATAAACTAGTCCTATCTTTAAAAAACTCATACATTTGATTACTAACTAATTACAATTATTGTGTGGAATTGTCAAATAAACACTTTTATCACACCTATCACTGCTACCAATATAAATAGTAGTAAAATGAAATGAAATATTAAATGTGATTATCATCACCAGTAAGTACTACCTATTTTTATAAAACAATTCTTCCAATAACTTTGTGAATTTAGTTATTTTACATCATTAAACCTCCTTTCTAAGAGCAAACATTTTCGATTTGCTCAAGATGAAAATAATTGAAATAAATCTTCATTCCATAACCCTTTGAAAGTCATATGCCATTTCAGTATTAGTATCACTACAATTCCTAGCATCCCCAGTGTATCCCATTTAATATTACACACTAATAATTGTGTTTTTTTAGATTTCTAGTTAGTCATAAATTGTTTCATTATTCGATTCACAGTAAATCATTGAATTTGTATAGTTTAAATGTAAAATGTAAATAATATATTAAAAACTTACATTGCTGTGTTTGTTTGAAACTCGTGTAATGTTTGTTTGTTTATTGGTTACTTTTTAGATACAAAAGCACAAATAGTATAACAAAATTTTATTTCACTAGCTTCTTACAATTTACCATTTTCAGTATGGTAACTTCACTCTTAGGGTAAAACCAACAGTTCAGTAAGGCATAGTTTAATGGTTGCCTGGAAGTTTTGAGTTTCCTGTCAAAACCATGAATAATAATGTCATATAATAATCACATTTTTGTGACACATATCAATCACAGGCTTCTTTAACATTTTTAACTCAAAGCATCTGCTTCTCTGCATTATTTGAGTCACTTTTCTAGTCTACTCAATGATATCTGTTAGGATGTGTAAACCATGTTTACACTAATGGAGAATTTTGAAGTAAAATTTTATGATTAGAATAGCTCTTCTTGATTACCATGAACCGACATCATATTTAGGAAATATATTATATTATAGTCATACATAACAGTCATATTTAGTAAATAGATTATTGTCATGATGGTATGGCAAATAAGGTTTTCAGGAAGTGATAAAATGAAAATTAATACAAAGAAATGAGTCTGTAATAGTAAGTAGCGGCAGTTTCTTGGGAGAGAAGGGAGGAAAATCCTCACATATTTTCTTCTGAATGTTATAAACAAATGAAGAATTTGCTTTGATATTTGAGGAAAATGTATATTTTATTAGTTGATAGCTTTGAGGAAATTACATTGATCGAGGTTTTAACTTTGCTTGCTTTATGTCATTTCAAAAATTACTGAAATTGCTCTTAGGAGGAACTCCCAGCTTTTCCACCTTTTTTTTTCTATTCAGTGTTAATCACACTTATCTTACAGCACTCCTTTGGCCAGAGGAGGAAATGTTCTTTAACAGAGTCTTAAAGGCAGAAGGGGAGGAATTAATTATTTTTATTGGCTTGTGGCTGAAATGTTTTTACACTGTCATAATACAAAAATGAAGGCCATTAAATATAGACATTCTCATGTATTAATTCCAACTAAACTTTTTAACATATTTTTTTTCTCTTATAAATTACATTATGAATTTAATTACAAATCTCACATTGAACATTAGGATCTCTTGGTATTATACAATTTACAATATGCCCATTTGCTTCTCTCATTTCACTGTATTTACACAGGTTTGTACTTACTATTTTTTGATTAATCAATATAGAATTAAGTTAAGAATGACTATATTGAGAAGAAGTAATAGCCTTTCTCCGTAAAATTCATTTAATAAATCATGGTTGGGTAGATTTACAATAAAAAATTTCAAAATAAAATTTACTTTTATTTCTGCTCATAGTCATTATTTTTTCATTTTCTGCTCTACTTTTTTGTGTATAGAAAGCAAATGCATCAAAGGCAGAATCTGGATCATCATGAGACAAAACACCACTTTTAGCCACCAACATCACATATCTACCTCCATTTTCATTTTCAATTATACCTTTAAGTGTTGGGCTCCATACTAGTTGATTTGATTGCCTAAACTATCTGCAACAGCTAATTTTTGTCTGAGGTGATTAATGAGAGAAGAATTAAATCTACTGTTCGCATATCTAAGGGTTTAAAAGCATTTTCTTAATTTGAAAATATAACATACTGAAAAATTTAACTTTCATAGACTTTTCATTAGCCTGATTCAATCCCCTACACACTGCTGGAAACACTGAAGCAAATTCTATGGCCTTATAAGTGACATTTTTATAAATTCTGAGAAAAACATGTTTATATTAGGCTATATTTCAGTGACAATGTAATTTCATTGTTTTAACGAACAATTGAAATGCTGTAGTTTTAATGATGACACAAATCACCATGACTTTACAGTGATACTGAATGAAATAAACAGTTTTCTCAGAATTTATAAAACACTCCTTACACTGTTCTCGCTTTCACCGAATCATTTGAGGATGCATATTTTTCATGAGCACACTATAAAGAAAATCAACTTCTAGGCATTCATTTTCCCATAGTAACTGGGAAAAGACAGTTAAACTCTGCATTCACCACATCTGGCTGGCTGATTTTGTTGCCCACTAGGAAAGTCAACTTTTAGATAGAAGAACAAAAACTGAAATTTATCAATATATTTAAAGGAATAACTGATCTTCCAATATTGAATGATTGAGTAAATGAACCTCTTCATGAAGTTTTAAAATTAGTGGTTTTCTGAAGTTGCAATTGTGCATATACTAATCCACCAATTTCATTATTGATTCCACACTTATTTACAATAGTGAACTTATTTTGCTTCATACATGCATCCTTACATACTTACTTGCTACATACATACACACATACATACAACTATATTTGCTTCACACATATTTAAAACACATCTCTTTCAATGTGATTTTTAACAAAGGAACTTTCAATTTTGCTAACATATTCTTTATTGGGGTGCTATTCATATATCTCATAATCATTCTCGCAGCCATATTCTGAACTTTCTGTAACATCAAATATTAAGTCACCACAAAGAAATATCATAAACTCTCAACATCTAATTTATCTGTATTAATGAAACTGGAAAGTCTTTCTGTGATTACAAACTAACCACCTTTTTATAGACTCATATGCTTCTTTAGGTAATATAAAACACAATTCAATCTTTTTTATGATTTTTGCCTGTCTGGGATAAACTCTGGTATGACTAATCCGATTTTGACGCAGTTTTCAGTGAAACATAGTTGAGTTTTATCAGGCATAACTTTGGTAATACTTTTTTTCAAATTATAATTTTCTCTTTTGTAAACAAGAATATTGCTTGTTTGTTTTTTCATACAAATGTAGTTTTAATCCAATGTTAAAGAAATTTTATGCAAGAAACCTTTAAAAGATCATAACAGTTCCTGTCTCTGAGAGACACTTTTCTGTCCCTATCTCACATTACTACCCTGTAAAGCAAAATTTAAGCCAAACAATTTTTCAATTTTTCTCTATTATCTCAAAATCAATTAGTAAATCCACTAAAGTGAATTAAACACTTCTAAAAGTCCATTAATTTCTGACCAAATTTATTTTGATTAATTCCAATGGTGCAAATAGGCTTTGAGGAATTGAAAATCAAAATTGTTTCTGGAAATTCGGTGGGAGTATGCAACAATGCATCTACATATTTACTAATGCCCATAGCAACTATGATTGTAGCAAGCATATGGGGCAATGGAGCAGAATGGGGCAGGTGACACAGAATGAGGTGGGGCAGGGTAGAGTGATGAGGTACAAAGTGGAGCTGGGTGGGTGGGACAAGGTTGGAAGAGATTGGCTGGGATGGGTAAGGTTTGGAAGAGCCACTTTTCTAGAATTGGAAATGCCCCTTTTCTAGGAACGAAAACATGATAGAAAAAATTAAGAACTATCAAAACATATAAGGTGCATTGGGACACCTACCTACCCTGAACAGTGCAATGTTTTGTGTAATACAGTGTATGAGAGATTTAACGTATTATTTTTAAATTTCCAATGTTCGAAAATTAAGAGAATTTGACGAAAATGAGATTCATGCCATTCTTTTAAGCATTTCTGCTTCTATTTGTGAAAAAAATTTAAAGAAAAAATCTGGAGTTGTTTTTGAGAAAAAAAATTCTTAGAAAATTCATAAATTTCCGACACAAATTACAGGAAATCTATTTGTTTTTTCAAAAACATTTATATGATCTTTTTAAAAGAGCTGATATTTTACAACGTACTTTGTCCAAGGCAAACATTTCTAACTTTAATTTTGTAGTTTTGTAACTAATTTTTTTTGCAATTTTTGAAGAAAAAAAACGTAGAGTTCACCGAAAATGGGACGAGATTTAGAAACAGAGTTTCATAAGCTACCGAAGCAGAAAAAAACGTTCTGGAAGATGCTGTGTTTAATCTTTTATTGTATCAACTCTCGCCAAGTATTAGCGAAAGTGTCAAGTAAATAATATTTTATACAATCGCAAAACATTCAGCGGGGGCTCTAGCTTGTCGTCTGGTTTTGCTGCAGGTCTTTTCTGTTGTTCCGCAGCTAACTTCGTGCGGCGGGGGATGGAGAAGGGCACTTCTGCGGACTCTGTCTCACACTATCTGTTTGTACTCATGCAGGGCCAGGCGTACATTACCAGTGTGCGTGTAGTAGCACGCCGCGCTGCCATCAATGGCCTCAGTGATTATTCTTTCTCTTAAGGCTTTTAGCTAGTGACTGCAACTTCCTTTAGTGCGGCGTCACTGCCCGCACACCATTCTCCCAGTGCCCCTGTCACAAGAGGGAGCACTTCGGCTCTGTGCTAACGCACACCATTCTCCCAGTGCCCCTGTCACAAGAGGGAGCACTTCGGCGCTGTGCTAACTAACGCACACCATTCTCCCAGTGTCCCTGTCACAAGAGGGAGCACTTCGGCGCTGTGCTAACTAACGCACACCATTCTCCCAGTGCCCCTGTCACAAGAGGGAGCACTTCGGCGCTGTGCAAACGGTGATGTGGACCCGGGTGGCTACGCATGTTTGGCGCTTTTCTTCTAACTTGCTGTTCAGTCTACCCTATCGTTCGTCAGTTACAGCGAAGTCCTTTACACTATCCGAGGACAAACTTAAATCAAAACATTTGGCGCCATTTTTGAGAAAATTTTGAAAACGTTTTTCAGGCTTCATGTAAAGTACCCTCAGAAATCAAAACATCTTGTTGAAAATCCCAAAGCCGCGAATTCTTTCAAATCTATCAGGGAATATCAATTTTGGAGAAAACAGGCTGAACGGTTTAGGTGCTAGCGTTGACCATGGATGTTGTGCTGTCAGTCAATTTTTCGGTATCAAGGACCCACAAAACTCGGATTCTGCCTACACCATGCGCTAGATGAAATAATTTACTATATATAGCAATAGGGTTTATCCACTTTTTCGTTACCAGGGTCCGGCAATAAGAGTTTTTCTGACGAAAATTTAACGTTTTCCGGCGTCCGATTACATTACTTCCTCTTCCTACGAAGTAAGTGCGATACAAAAAGATCAAATGGAATGTAGGGAAAATGTTTAACAGAAAAGCCAGCCGAACCTCTTGAGTTTCCCCTACATCTTCCATCCCTTTTAATTTACAGAATAGATTTGTGTATTCACCAACCACCACCTTTCCTAACTTATATATGTTGAATTCCTTGTTTGTTTGATTGTTGACATAATAAATCCAAATACTATGGGATATTTAAGTATCAAGCAAATATCCTTCACAATTTTGCACTTCTTTGCATCTTTCTTTTTCTTGCTCACAGTGTAATTGTACAATGTTGGCTGGTGAATAAAATCTCTTATCTCATTGCAAGTGGACGCATGTAATTTAATTTGTTGTTTGTTCCATTTAAAGTAATTTATGCTATTGACTTATTTCCTTCTCATAAGAAACATGCATTGCATGAGTAGCCACTGCCACAAAGTACTGTTTTCAATGAAAATGCAATAGCGTACGTAGAGTGAACACTCCACTTGGTCCTTCAAGAATATCAACAAATATTAAATAAGTAAGAATGTAGTCAGGTCCCAAATGAACAAAACAGCATATTTTGAAGGGATGTTCTAATCCACCTAAAGCTGCAAGATTATTTAAGTACTTGCTGGGATGGGGGGTGTTGTTTCCTCAAAATTACTAATTATACAAATACAGATTGTACTTTTTTCTCAGGAACTATAAAAGCATATGTTTTCAATAATATTTGAATCATGGTGATCCAGGAACTCAAAATAAATTATTTGGACCTTAATGAAAAGATGTGTGCATTAATCATGGCATGTTGCATTAAAAAAGTAATCATTAAACAAAAAAAATAATACCTTGACATCTTTGTAACAGAAATTATTCCAAATCATTATGTAGGCATATTTAAAACTATGATTAACATTGAATAACACTAGTACTAAATTATGACAGTTTCTGAAAAACAAACATGAAGTAATGCAATTACTTTCTTAATTTCTTGTATAATCTAACTTTAAATTTCATTATAACTCATTATAAATGTTTCATTATTGCATATTGAAACTTTGGAAGTGAACTCTATATATATAATAAGAAATATTCTTATTAATTCAATCCACACTCGTATAAAAAGCATTTCATATCTCTTCACTTCTTTTCGAGATTAATGCTTCTAACATATTATTTTAGTTTAAGTACAGTCTTACTTTATCTGTTTTTTGTGGGCATTAGATATTCATAAATATGTATGAATGATTTTTGTTGTTTTCAGAGAACTCAGTGTGTTACATATGGATGCACTAGCTAAATTTAAGCGCTCTACCCCACATCTGGAGTTTCCAGCTCTCCACAAAGAACTCTTCTCTGTTGACAGCTGAGTGTAGTACAACTAGGAGCTGGCACAGTATGTATTTTTATCATATAATTCTCATTTACATCAATGATATACCAAGATTTTTACACAGATTCATTACTCATATACACGACTTAAATAATTTATTTTGTACCGTCAATATTTTTTATTGATACAAAAGAGCCAAGTATTTGTTTATCTAAGTAGTGATGTAATACCCTACACTGCATACACAGCATATTGTTGTTGGAACAGCATTATTTTAAAACACTAGATAATACTGCAAAGTCTATAAAATTAACAAGTAGAAATACCACTATTGAAATACCACTATAAACAGTTGTTATTCAAGAACAGATACAAAAGACTCATAGTGATATGGCACTTACAACAACTGAGTAAACTGCAATTTAAGATGTTGCTTAAACAACAATAAATTATTTCATTAACAGTTGTAGTCCCAAGATATTTTCTACTCCAAGTAATACCAAAAATGGGCAATTATTGACAACCTTAAAAAATTTAAAATACCACTACTAGCTTAACAAATTTAATTTTACATTTATAATATGCTTTTAGTGGTTTGGAATTCAGTGTAAAGACATTGTAAGTTATATTACTAAATAATTTTATTTCACTTCTTACTCCACTGATGTCACTTCTTATTCCAGATTCATCATTATTTTGTGAAAACATTTCACCAATTCACAACAGAACTCTTGACATTACTATCATTAATTACATTTTAGTAATTATGTCACTCATGTTTGTGTTCACAAATGTACTACATACAAACAAACCACACTCCAAATCAATAAAATGAATTTGACTGACCTTAAAATAGTTCAACATGAATTTATATATACAGAAGAACCTTTATGGCAATGAAAAAGAAAGCCTAACCTTAGATGGTTAATTTTTAGGGTGACAGACTACTAAGGTGGCAAAATCTGCCCATCGACAAAGAATTAAATTCAAAGTCTACATATTTCACACCAAAAATTGATGAAATAACTCAGTGGTGGTATTTTAAAGAGTTGGTAACAAATAGAAAAAATGCTAAGACATAATTCATCGACAGAACAAAGTATTTGCCCACCTTTTATTACTGCAAAAGTTCAGGGGAAATTTTCATAATTGCTTATGTTAGTTAAAGAGCATTTATGTTTTGAAAACTAATTATGCTTTGACCGAAAAAATGATACATGGGTACTCCAGAAAATTATCAATAACAAACTTCTTGACCGTAGTTAAAACTTGTATCTCAATGACAAGAAAACAATAAGTGATACTGGAAACTTAAGTGCCAGATCTCAGATAATGTCAGAAGAAAAATACAGTTTGAACATGAAGTGCAATGAGTCTGTAAAGTACTTTTTTCTCCAATGGCATCTTTGTAATTGTATTGCCTACGAAGCAAACAAATACTTAGGAAATGAGTAGTTAGATGTTTAAAATAATGAAGAGAAATGTGAATGTATGGTCAAAAAGTTACTTTTTTTTTAACCTTGTGAAATAAAATAGCATTTATTAAACAAATGGAGATTTTTTCAAAAACTGCAACAGTCCAAAAATTGAAGGTTTGGAAGGAGAATAGTTTAAGTAATTCCCAATGAGGTGCACATGCTAGCTTACAAATCCTTCACAAAAACAATTTATGTCCTTTTAGAAACGATTGTTGAAGTTTGCTTAGTTGGACACAGAACAATATTGTTCATTTGCTTTGTAATGAATAGTGTAAACAAAAATATTGTCAAGAAACCATCATCAACTTTGTTTGAGTAAAGCTGGAAAGGTTTTTGAAGTAAGAATGAACAAAGGTTTGGCCCAGAGAACCAACGATATTTGCATCTTCATGAATGGCATGCAAAATCTTTCTCTGCCCTGCTTCTCATTAACATATTCTATGCCTATCTTTTGTATAACGTGTAGGGTTGAGTAAGCTTTTGTTATTTATGGATGTGTCAACTGCTCTCAAAAGTACACACAGTACATTAGTACATTACATCTTATTAGTACATTCGTAGTAGTGTAGTGTATTTCTTTTAGTTTTTTGTGACAGTCTATAATTCATATATTACATTTAACTGTATCAATTTTTTTATTTTGAAACAGTCAATTATTCAATTAAAAATTATACAAATTTCAGAATATAATAAAATTTAAAAAGAGATCTGGATTTTAAAAAGAGAAAATATAATAAAATTCAGACTTTTTCTATAAATATACATTTTGAGCCTTTGATGTGCTCTTCTTCAGGTATCTGGGATTTTGATAAATTTAAATATAATAACATTGTTCTTTCTCATTAAGGGAATTACAAGCATTGCTCCATTGTACATTATAGCTTTATAGCAATGAAATATGATAAGTGCAAGTATCAGAAACAATACTATGTTACTTCAAAAGTTACATTTTTATATTAATTATTAATGTTTAAATTATGATACGTGAATTCAAAAATTAGTTGAAAGTCATTGTAAAAGAAACAAAAAATATATGTTTTTGAATGGTGTAACATCATTGTCAGTTATGAATTTCAAAATTGTATATGGCATCAGGACTGAAACATAAGAACTTCTAAGCGATAGATGTAATGGTCAGAACAAGAATATTGTTGTGATACAGTTTATCTGCACACTAGTTCATTTCCTCAAGCTATTTAAAAGTATTTAACAAATATCCCCCATTAGAGGTCACAGCTACCTCCTTAATGATTAAGATTTCAGTTGGTTTGAGGATAAAAAGAAAGAGAAAAAAATTGAGGAGAAATTCATGTTGGGATGAGTAAATGAACAAAGCTCTGCAAGTCTATTCTTCGCCATTAAATTTAGTGAAAATGAATCAAGAAGACATTTTTGAAGCTGGCAAGCTATTTATGAAGCTTTGCAACAAAGGTGCGCAAATGGTCAAAATATCTGCCAATGCAGCTAGGGTGATAGACCTACAGGGATGTTTGGGAGCACATTGTTATGTGCAACGCCAAGTCCCAATCTGAATACTATTACTAAATACATTGGAAAATTGTCATTTAAAAAACATCTAAACTGAAGGACCTAAGAAGATTAGTATTGTTTCTCCTAATACTCCAGAACAAAGAATACATATTCATTTAATTTTATTTGTGTCTTGAAGCTGAAGAGCATAAGTCTCGAAGCTGACAATCACCAATAAGAATCCATGTTTTGTTTGTATTTCATATACTGAAATAAGTAACAAATATTCATTTACCAGGAAATAATTATTTCATCCATGAGTTTTGAGAATAACAATCAATGTCCATGATGAAATAATTGAAGTCATCTTCGTCAACTTCATGGATTTATTCAGAGAACCAGTTTTCAACGACTTTTCTGTCATCATCAAAGTCACTATGTAGCAAAAGTCAGGACACAGTGCCGACCTTTGTCACATAGAGTGAGACTGAAAATGACAGCAAAGCCGTTGAAAGTTGACTCTGTCTGAATATTCATCTATTTCTCAGGTTCATAGTCCTTAATTTGAAAAAGATATTTTTTTTTTAAATTATTTATTTTAAAAAACAATGGTTTAAAATGTATTGTATTTATTACAGGAATTTGGAACTGTGCATCTCTTCTCACTGCTCATCAGATGCAGTTACTACAACAGCAAAAGGTTGCCTTGTGGCGTGCAAATGACCCATTTCACATGACATTTCACATAGAAACTGCAAAGTTTCATTTGTAGGGGATGTCGAATTGTCAACACTGACACACACATATACACACAGTCACACACATGTACACACACACACACACCACACACACACACACACACACACACACACCACATACACACACCACACACACACACACACACACACACACACACACACATACACACACATTTTGTTACAAGTGAGCTGGACTCTTAAAGGAAAGTTGTTATTATTCTTATATCTGTGAAGCATTATGAAGAAGGCAAAAATTGTGAAGAAATGTGGTCAACTTCGATAGTATTTTTTGGATGAGTCTGGTAATGTTTCTGTAGGTACAAACTGTTGTTTCTGATAACTTTTCCAGGTTGTTGACTGACCTGAGGGAAAGAGAGAATGGAACTAGAGAGTAGAGGCAATTTTTAGCTCTAGAAATGGGACTTACAATATGTTGTGTCTCTTTCAAGAGTGATGTAGAGAACAACAAGAAGTATCCTGCCAACAGTATTTACAGAAAATTAAAAATTGTAATGTAATGTTGATATATCTAGTAAAGGAATTAGTAGTTGACATAGGTGCCCAGTGTTTTCCAATGTCCCATTGGGTGTAATTGGAATATAATGATTTGTTTTGGGGCCACATAGAAAAGGACTCTGTTATGAACTGTACTTACATTTATGATATAAAAATTAATCTTCTTTAATAATTGTATAAAAGCTGGTGTATTTATTGTGTCATGTTTTCTTCTACTCCTTCCTATTTTAAACTAGAGTCAGGAATACATTGGTGTTAAGAAAATATCTCCACAGCCTGAAATACTGTTGGTAGGAAGTTTATTTATTTATTTATAGTCAATCTTCAAAACAATTATTTTTCACCTCAAAGAATTTGTGTTCATTTTCATATGTTAAACATTGAAGTGTAAGCAGTAGATTATATAATATTTCATAAAATGAGAAGTGTTTCTTAATTTTTAAAAGCCAAAATGCAAAAATTCTTATGTGTATATATTCTGTAGATGTATATTAAAATTATATGATATGAAGAAAGTAAAATACATCAGTTATCAACACACATTAACCATTCACTGCAATATATAAACACTTTATGTAACATGTACACACTTCACAAAAAGTGACATTTCACAGAAAAAACACAGACAAGTATGTAGGAACAAGTTATATAATACACAAATTAAGTGAGGGGAAAGTATATTTAAAAAATGCTATGGTTAAGGGAAAATATTGCCTTATTATCAATAATTATATGTAAAATAATAAAAATATAGAAAGTACTATGTTTATAGATGGTAAGAAGCTGTACAGTACAAGACATGAATGTATAAGTTGAACTCTAGGCAAATTTGGATATAGACCGCCTTCAATATTGCAAATATGTTTCTAAGAAGCTCTTATTAGATAAAAATATGACTAACTAAATTTGATATTTTGGGAATAGGTGAAATTCATTAAAAAAGAATACCCATCATGAAATGATTTATCCAGATGTATCTGCTTAGTAATAGATACTTTCAGAAAATGCCAGAGAATTATTGTTCAAAATATCATAATGAAATACTTCAAATATGTCACACACAAGTTGATGTTACTTTATAGTATTGAACACAAAAAGAGAAAACTTATTTTGTACAATGTTAATCTGTTAGTTCTTGTAAATTTGTTTATAATATTTTAAGGTTGGTTGGTTGATTGGAAATTTTTTATACTGTTAACCTATGTTTTTTCTTTAAATTAATGTTATTTTGTATAAATAGTCATGAGAACTGACAAAATATAATAGAGAACACCTGTAATGTTTATTATTGATATTTATGAGGAAATAAACCTTGATCTACCATTGACATGATATTTCTATACAGAAATATGTAGTGAGATTTGGTCATTACTGACTTTCAATTTTAAAATGTATTCTTTCATAAAGTATATTTGTAGTTTTCATGTTCTTGGTATCAAGGTTTACTGACATTTGTTACCTATTGTATTCTTGAACCATTAACCTAATTTTCCTTTTATAGTAAATAAAGTCATATTTTGGGAAAATAACATTTTTATTCCTTCTTTTTCATTCCTTTTATTGGTTAAATCAGTACTTAATGACATGGTACATTTTTGATACTATTAGATTTTACTTATAATTTATTATTACATACAGTCTCATATAATATGAAGAAGGTAGTCTCTTGACAACAACCAGCCATCCTTAATAGAAGTACAAAACTTATTTATTGTATGTATTATTGCTGATTGACTGAACAAAAGAAATGGCTACCATAGTAATTACTAGTTGGCCTTAAAATGGATTAAAAAAATTCAGTAGACATTCTGGACTAATATGTGATACGAATGGAATGCCTCAGAAAGCTGAAAGCTGATAAAAAAAGTTTGAAATATTCTACCTAGTTGCCCGATCCATAGAACTACGTGCTTCAGACTGTTAAAATTGCATTGTACAGCACTGTTGATTTATATGTATATATCCTCCAAATGGTACTATTGGGAAAAATACTTTTGGTTATGGTGTATACAATTTGTTGTTGAAAATTACTAATTATATAAAAATGAAGATATCTCTTCAATGTTATTATTATGTAGGTGTTAAACATACATATAAGGGTATATACATCATTACAACTATATCGAACACATTCATAAATATAAGAACTGTTCTTTTTTATTACAATTTATGACAAATTATGACAGAAAAAGTAGTAAGTTTATTTACATATTGCTACAGAATCTCTCTCTCTTTGAGATATATGTATTTATATATGTGTACATATGTATGTACATATACACATATACATATATACATACATTTATCATATATATA